AGTTTGGCTATGTCCCCACCCAAATCTCATCTTGAATTCCCATGTGTTGTGGGAGGGACCCAGCGGGAGGTAAGTGAATCATGGGGAGAAGTTCTTTCCCATGCTGTTCTTGTGATAGTAAGTCTCATGAGATCTGATGGTTATTATAAGTGGGCGTTTTTCTGCACAAGCTCTCTTTTTGCCTGCTGCCATCCATGTAGGTTGTGACGTACTGCTCCTTGTCTTCTGCCTTGATTGTGAAACCTCCCCACCCATGTGGAACTGTAAGTCCAATACACCTCTTTCTTTTGTAAATTGCCCAGTCACAGGTATGTTTTTATCAGCAGTGTGAAAATGGACTACTACACTACCCAAAGCAATCTACAGATTTAATGCTATCCCTATCAAAATACCAATGACAATTCATCACAGAAATTAAAAAATCAATCCTAAAATTTCAATGGAACCACAAAAGACCCAGAATAGCCTATCTCTATCCTGAGCAAAAAAAATAAAATTAGAGAAACCTCATTATCTGACTTCAAATTATACTACAGAGCTATAGTAACCAAAACGACAGGGTACTGGCATAACAACAGATATAAAAACCAATGGAACAGAATAGAGAACCCAGGAAAATCCATGCATCTACAGTGAACTTATTTTCGACAAAAGTTATAACAACATACATTGGGGAAAGGACAGTCTCTTCAACAAATAGTGCTTGGAAACTGGATATCCATATACAAAAGAATGAAACTAGATTACTATCTCTCACCACATATAAAATTCAAATCAAAATGGATTAAGACTTAAATCTAAGACTTCAAATTATGAAACTACTACAACAAAACATTGGGGAAACACTCCAGGACGTTGGAGTGGGCAAAGATTTACTGAGTAATACCCTGCAAACACAGGCAACCAAAGCAAAAACGAAAAAATGAGATCACATCAAGTTAAAAAGCTTCTGCACAGCAAAATAAATAATCAACAAAGAGACAACCCACAGAATGAGAGAAAATATTTGCAAACTATCCATGTGACAAGGATTTAATAACTGGAATATATAAGGAGCTCAAACAACTCTATAGGAAAAAATATAATAATCTGATTTTAAACTGGGCAAAAGATCTGAACAGACATGTCCCAAAAGAAGACGTACAAATGGCAAACAGATATATGAAAAGGTGTTCAATGTCACAGATTATCAGAGAAATGCAAATCAAAACTACAATGAAATATCATCCCACCCCAGTTAAAACGGCCTCTATGCAAACAACAGGCAATAACAAATGCTGGTGAAGATTGGAGAAAAGTAAGCCATCATACATTGTTGGTGGAAATGTAAATTAGTACAATCACCGTGGAGAATAGTTTGGCAGGTGTATTTTGTCACAAGACAGAAATACAGCTGCTATATAATCCAGCAGTCCCAGTCCTAGGTATTTGGGATTTTCCTTTCCAAAAGAAAGAAAATTGTTATATTGAAGAGATATCTGCACTCCCATGTTTATTGCAGCACTCTTCACAATAGCCAAGATTTGCAAGCTACCTAAGTTCCTTCAACAGATGAATGGATAAAGGAAATGTGATACATAAACACAGCTGAGTACCATTCAGCCATGAAAAAGAATGAGATCCTGTCATTTACAACATGGATGGAACTATATATCATTATGCTAAGTGAAATAAGCCAGGTAAGAAAATACAAACTTCACATTTTTTCACTTATTTGTGGGAGCCAAAAATCAAAACAATTGAACTCATGGAGATAGGGAGTAGAAGGATGGTTACCAGAGGCTAAGAAAGATTTTGGGGGGTGAGGGAGAAGTAGGGATGGTTAATGGGTACAAAAAAATAGAAAGAATGAATAAGACCTACTATTTGCTAGCAAAACAGAATAAGTATACTCAAAATTACTTAATTGTACATTTTAAAATAATAAAATAATATATTGGATTGTTTGCAACATAAAGGATAAATGCTTAAAGTGATGGATATCCCATTTACCCTGATGTTATTATTACACCTAAATATGTCATGTACCCCATAAATACATATACCTACTATGTGACCACAAATTTAAAAATTTAAAATTAAAAAAAAAGAAAGAAAACCTACTACTTTACTCCATAACTCTATTTTTACAGACCAGGAATACATTCTTAATTAGAAAACAATTTCATTCTACTGTATCCTAATATAGCACAGTTTTCTTTATTCTTTCATTTTCCCTTCTCTATTCCTTTACTGCAAGGGTCCCCAATCCCTGGGCCACGGACCAGTACCCATCCGTGGCCTGTTATGAACCAGGTTGCACCACAGAAGGTAAGCAGCAGGTGAGCCAGTATTACCACCTGAGCTCCACCTCCTGGCTGATCAGCAGCAGCATTAGAGTCTCATAGGAGTACAAACCCTACTGTGAACTGCACATGCAAGGGATCTAGATTGTGCACTCCTTGTGAGACTCCAATGCCTGATAGCCTGAGATGGAACAGTTTCATCCTGAAACCATCCCCCCAGTCACCATCCTTGGAAAAATTATCTTCCATGAAACTGGTCCCTGGTACCCAAAAGGTTGAGGACCACTGCTTTACTGTACATAAAGTAACTAGTGTATGTACACAAATACATTGCATTTTTTTGTTTTCGTATATGGCCAATAGGAGGTTTTGATCGACATCAAATGAAGTTGGGATTAAATAAAAACACTGGTTCTGTGAAAGTACCGACTTTCTCCATTAGGAGCATGCTCATTCAGCTTTTATTTTCATAATTCAGTAAATTATTTTGGCTCTATTTTAACACACCAAAAAAGAAAAAAACATAGAAATTCTTGCATGCCTTGTTTGACTGGAAAATTTTAATGTTTCCATTTATCATTGCAAAACCAAGGAAAATTTTATGTAGCTATTCAATGTAGGGCAATATTTTAGTAGAAATAAATGAGCCTAAAAATAATTACTAGATAGTTTTCCTTTTGAATTATGACTCTTGTGTTTAAATAAATTTCTTTAACATGAAAGCAAACAAAAGGTTGAAGTACATAAATATAGACAAGGAAAGAAATGTATAAAGTATAATACCAATTATGAAAAAAGATATTTATAGTGTCATACAAAAGACTGGAAGGATATACAAATACTAAAGACTGGCAATCATTGGGAGTAGAATTATAGGGAAGAGTAAAGAAGATGACCTTTCATTTTCTACATGATATACTTTTATATTTTAATACTTTTAATAACCAGTGACATAGTAAAGATTTATTCATTTGAAAAAGAAAAGAAAAAAACTTGGTTGCAATATTGAAACAGACCTCTAACTCCTTTCTAGTGATACTTTAAAATCATAAGAAGGCATCCTGGAGATCAATACTACACACTGTCCCTTCCAATTACATGTGGGAAAATGCACTCCAAGATGAAACCATAACCTCACACTAAGGTATCAGGGGAGATGATATACAATGAAAAGACTATGAACCATAAATACCCAAGAGTTAAAAGATCTTTGTGGGTGTTTAGAAATTTTTTTTCTATTTTACACTCCTTTACAGACATCCTCCAAAAAAAGATTTTTTAAAATGCTCACAGGAAGAAACCATAAAGAGAAACAACCTATCATTTAAACAGCTACTGCAGAATTGGTCTCTCTGAACACTGCCTATCAGTGATAGATTCTTCTAGAAATGTTTAAATCAACACAGAAGTGGCCTCAGAAAATTAGGTGTATTGGTAGATGAAAGGCACATTTACAATGCATATATACAAAGGATGTGTGTGCCCTAATTTTAATCTAGAAAAATAAGACTGGTTATTAAAAAGTATTACTTACTTTTACAAATAGACAGGTCCTAGGGTTAGGCTAGAGATTTGGAAGAGGAGAAAAGCCATATGGGTAGCACTTCAATACCTCCATCGCCCTTTCTAGGAATCTTAAGCATCTTCTGGAAGCTATGATCCTCACTGCAGTCCCTAGTCTAACAGATCCTAATAAACTAAGTCTGTGTAAAATTAAAGAACAAGACTAAGGATGAAAAGATAAGTTAATGAAATGGTGATCAGCAGGTCTTTGAATAACTTCATTTCAACATTGATTTTTTAAAAATCAATTCCCAGCCAGGCGTGGTGGCTCACACCTGTAATCCCAGCATTTTGTAAGGCTGAGGCAGGTGGATCACGAGGCCAGGAGTTCGAGACCAGCCTGGCCAATATGGTGAAACCCCATCTCTACTAAAAATACAAAAATTAGCCAGGCATGGTGGCTCACACCTGTAGTCCCAGCCTCCCTACTCAGGAGGCTGAGGCAGAAGAATCCCTTGAACCCAGGAGGTGGAGATTGCAGTGAGGTGAGATCGTGCCACTGCACTCCAGCCTGGGCGACAGAGCAAGACTCCATCTCAGAAAAAAAAAAAAAAAAAAAAAAAAATTCCCAGCTGGGGCCACTGTGTGGAATTTCCATGTGCTCCCCATATCTGTATGGGTTTCCTGCAGGTACTCCAGTTTCCTCCCACATCCCAAAGATGTGCATGTTAGGTTCACTGACATGTCTAAATGGTCCCAATACAAGAGTGAGAGAGAGAGTGTGTGTGTGTATGTGTGTGTGCGTGCACACACTCTTCAATGGAATGGCCCCCTGCCCAGGGTTGGTTCCTGCCCTGAGACCTGAGCTGCCAGGATAGGCTTTGGTCACACTCAACCCTGAAGTAGAATAACTGGGTAAACAATTATGTTACTTGTTTGTATTAATGTTTCTTAAATATATGTATAGCTCACATTTATTTCCATGTTTAATATCAGAAGTGTTTTGGTGTTTATTTAGAAGTTTGGTGACGTTCTTATGGCCAGAAATATACTATAGGAACTTAACTGTTATTTATATCCATTGTAACATTGGTTTCCTTATAATTAATTTTGCTTAAAGTCTCAGATTCCAAGAACCTATCAATGACATTAAATGAGGACTTACTGGGAAACTTAAGGGAAAGAATCATTAACGAAAAGAATCATTCTCACCTTTGCACATTCCTCTTGTATCAGGATGCAGACTGAACTCAGATCTAAGAGATGTGTCTTGATCAAATAACAACCTTCCAAATACCAAAAGAGAAGGCACAAGTTGTTAATGTATCTTAAACAAAGAGTAACATTTTAACCATCATTTTTATTATACCAAAACTTGTTAAAATTCTTAGTTATACCACTATTAATGTTTGTATTTCAAAGTGTTATTTCAGAAATGTATAATTTGATTGAAAACATATCCAAGATGAAAAAGAAAAACTCATGTATATAGTCATGTTAATTTCACAAATATTCTGTTATCATTTTTTAATATTTGGGAATAAGGGACAAATATCACTGTCCCAAGTCTCATAAATCTTAATAACTTTTTGAAAAGAGATAAAATGAGATCATTTGAGGGACCAGCACTGGTGGGTTTTTTTTCCCTTCACATTTCCTTATACCAGAGAACTTGAGATTAAAATCCTGGGATTATATCTGAGTTTATATTTCCATAGTATGCACTGACAGAATTCCTTTACTTATTTATTTATTTTGAGACAGATTCTTTCTCTGTCACCCAAGCTGAAGTGCAGTGGCATGACCTTGGGTCACTTCAAACTCAAGAGGCTCAAGAGATCCTCCTGCCTCAGCCTCCCAGATAGCTGGGACTACAGGTGTACACCACTATACCTGGCTATTTTATTTATTTATTTTTTGTAGAGACAGGGTCTTATCATGTTGCCCAGGCTGGTCCTGAACTCCTGAGCTTAAGTGATCCTGCCTTGACCTCCCTAAATGCTGGGATTACAGGAATGAGCCACTACACCTGGCCCAGAATTCCTTTAATTTTTGGATTTATTTCTTACTATGTTCAAGGGAGCATCACGGTAACAAAGAGAGAAGATACATAATCCTTGCCCCCTAGAAGCTCCAAATCCAGTAAGGAATACAGAGCTATGAAAATAACCATGATATGCCATGAGTATGCTACTAGGCAAACTTAAATATTTATCTTTTCTGTTTAAATGGGCAGAAAATGAACCAAAAAAAACTTGAATAGACATTTCCGCAAAGAAGAAATACAAATAGCCAACAGGCACATGAAAAGATGTTCAGCATCACTAATCATTAGGGACATGGAAATCAAAACCACACTGAGATACCACTTCATACTCATTAGGATGGCTGTTTAAGAAAAATAAAAAATTAAGCCAGATACTGTCACTCATGCTTATAATCCCAGCTACACAGGAGGCTGAAGCAGGAAGACGCCTTGAGGCCAGGAGTTCAAGGCTGCAGTGAGCTATGATCAGGCCATTGCACTACAGCCTAGGTGAGGAAGTAAGACACTATTTCTAAACACATACACACACACACACACACACACACACACACACTTTCTAATAGTTTTCAGCATCAGCAAAATTGACAATGGAAAGGACTCCAGTCCTTAACTTTTCTATTATAACACACCCTCTGTGAGGTGCTATAAGAAGGCTCCCGCTATAAGAAGAAAAGTGTTTTCTTGGCTCTTTTCTAATGACCATTACTAAGAATTAAAAATTAATTATTAGAATAAAATTATGCCATTGCTATAGTGCTTTTTTCCAAGAAGTAAAACCATCTATTAATGTTTCTCCATTAAGTAAAATAATCTATTAATATCCCTAAAAAGGTAAGTTTACCTCTTAAGATGTTGTTTTGTTGTTTTGTTGTTTTGTTTTTCAGACACAGTCACTCTGTTGCCCAGGCTGAAATGAAGTGGCATGATCTCAGCTCACTATCATCTCCACCTCCCAGGTTCAAGTGATTCTCCTGCCTCAGCCTCCCAAGTAGCTGAGATTATGGGTGCCTGCCACTAGGCCTAGCTAATTTTTGTATTTTTAGTAGAGATGGGGTTTTACCACGTTGGCCAGGCTGGTCTAGAACTCCTGACCTTCTGGTCTCAACCTCCCAAAGTGCTGAGATTTGAGGTGTGAGCCACTGCACCCAACAAAATTTTGTGGGTTTTTTTTAATTTAAAAATAACACAAAAGGGGTATGGAAGAATTTGGGGGGGTGGTAATGACACTATTCTATATCTTGATTGTGATAGTAGTTACACAATTATGTTTGTCAAAACTCAGACCTGTACATTTAAAAAAGTGAACTTTATGTAAATTGTTCCTTGAAGGGTGACAGAATATGCCACCCCAAAATAAGCCACTGTGACATATGGATTACTCTGAGCTAAAGGAAACTTGAATAACAGCAGATGCCTCCCTTTTTCTTCTTGAAAACAGGAAATAAAAACTCCTGTGTAAAAGATGCCCTCCCTACAGAAAGAGAAAAGAAACATTTTTCAATAGCCAAGATAATTCTGTACTAACAGAACTTGTTAAAATAATTCTATCTTCCTTTAGCCTCCTTACACAATTTAGTTAGCTTTCCACAACTGCCTCTCTTTGTTGAACCTAATACAAAAGCATACAGGCTTTGCCATTTCTTTTCTTATTTTTTTCGAGATGGGAGTCTAGCTCTGTTGCCCAGGCTAGAACGCAACGACGCGATCTCAGCTTACTGCAACCTCTACCTCCCAGATTCAAGGAATTTTCCCGCCTCAACCTCCTAAGTAGCTTGGACTACAGGTGCATAACCACTATGCCTGGTTAATTTTTGCATTTTTAATAGAGACTGGGTTTCACCATGTTGGCCAGGCTGGTCTCAAACCCCTGACCTCAAGTGATCTGCCCACCTTAGCCTCCCAAAGTGCTGGGATTACAGGCATGAGCTACTGTGGCTGACCAGGTTTTACCATTTATTTGAGTCTTCATTTCCTTTCCTTGATTTCCTGTGTCACATAAAACTTATTTTAAATTTACCTAAGTTTTAATATTTAAAGTATTTAATCTATTTCATATCAATTTATCCTTAGGCTCAACAAGGACCCTGTGAGGGGAGAGGCAGAATTTCTGCCCCTACTAAAATCTTAATTAAAAATAAAAAAACTAATATAAATATGTTAATATTCTAATATGTAAACATAAATATTTAACATTGTGCCAATAAAAGTACCAATAAGGGCCAGGTATGGTGACTCATGCCTGTAATCCCAGCACTTTGGGAGACCAAGGTGGGGAGATCACTTGAAGTCAGGAGTTCGAGACCATCCTGGTCAACTTGGTGAAACCCCATCTCTACTAAAAATACAAAAATTAGCTGGATGTGGTCCCAGCTACTTGGCTGGCCCAGACAGGAGAATGGCTTGAACCTGAGAGATGGAGGCTGCTGAGAGCTGAGATCGTGCTACTGCATTCCAGCCTGGGTGATAGAATGAGACTCCATCTCAAAAAAAAAAAAATGAAAAATAGTCCTCTTTGCTAAAGAAATTATTTTTACAAACCCCAACAATTTATGTTTAAGGAAATTATCTCAGAATTATTTACCATAACAAAAAATTTAAAACTATGTTTTGTTTTAGAATAGTATAATGCTTCAATAAATTATGATATACCTTCATGATGGAAAACTATCAATAGTTTAGGGAATAATTTTAATGACATTGCAAATGTTTAAATATAATATTAAGTAAAAACTGTAAACTTGTACACATTGATTCAAACTTTGTAAAAGAATTACAGGTGCACACACAAACACCTACATAGAAAGCTGGAAGAAAATACACCAAAGTCTTAATATGGGTAGAATTAGATGAGATTTCTACCTCATTTAATGCTTCTTTTTATTGCCCCTGTTTCCTACAGTGTTTCTGAATAGACAACATATTTACATGGTTCAAAATTCAAAACCTAGTAGAGACTGGGCATGATGACTCATGCTCATAGTCCTCACTACTCAAGAAACTGAGGCAGGAAGATCACTTCAACCTAGGAGTTAGAGGCTGCAGTAAGCTATGATTGCACTATTACACTCCACACTGGACAAAAGTGTAAAAGTCTGTTTCCAAAACAAATAATATAATAGGGTATGTAGCAAAATATCTCCCTATCGCCTCAAATATAAACTTCCTTTCCCATAGGCAATCAAGGTGTTTGACTTTTTGTAATCCTTTCAGAGATATTTTCTAAGCGTATTTATGTTGAAGAACATAGGTTAAACCATTTTCTAAAAATAAAACCACTGTGTCAAAGAGTATATGTGTTGGTAATGTTGATAATTAAAATTTTTTTGAGTTTTGTATTATAATTAGGCCTTTCTTCCTCTCCAGTTATAAAAGAATCCCTTTTTGGCTTCTTGTAATGCTTTTTGGGTTTGTTTGTTTTTTTTAACATTTACTTCTTTGATTCACATGGAGTTTTTTTGGAATACAGTGTGAAGTATGGATTCAACTCAGCTATTTTCTAGATATGTCCTTCATTGTCTCAGTATCATTTTCTGAAAAATCCCATCATTTCTTCACTGGTTTGAGATGTCACCTCTTTAATATACTAAACTCCCATCTGTATGTGATTTTATTTGGGGGGTTTTATGCTGTTTATTGATCTGTCACTTTATGTGCCAGTATCATATATAAAATATTTTATATCAGAAAATATTTTAATATCCTGTAGGTCACTACCTCCTTATTGTTCTTATTTTTCAGACTTTTCCTAATTGCTCTTATTTATTTTGCCATCTAAACTTTGGCATCAGTTGTCTAGTTCAACAGAAAGTCTTGTTGGTACTTTATTTATTTATTTATTTTTTGAGATGGAGTCTCACTCTGTCACCAAGGCTGGAGTGTAGTGGTGTCATCTCGGCGCACTGCAGCCTCTGCCTATTTCTCATTACAACCAAAAACTCTGAATGAATATTTTTTAAAAGCTACTTGAGAACCTTGAAAAGTAAACAATAGCAGGTAGATTGAGGACTGAAATTGAAACCTGAATAACAACCTATTTATAGATAACTTTCAGTTTGTTTTTTGTTTTGTTTTTTGGTTCTTTTTTGTCTCTCAGCTTTGAACCATCGAGTAGGCACAGGCAGTAAACCTATTTTTATCCTGAAGATCAAGGAAAAGGACCCCTGCATGCCAGGGTTTTATTTATTTTTTTTCTTTCTTACCTCCTAGCCCTGCCCCAAGGCCAGCCCTAGCCTCAGAGCAGTACTGCCACCAACCATGGCAACTGGGACACTTAAAACTCAAGAGAAAATGTCTTTCTACCAGATGAACTGGGAAAAGGGATTTGTATTGCCTGAAAAGTATGGGGAGAATCCCCCTTTTTTCTCTCTTAACTCTTTGTCCTAAAGGCTGTCTCTGTTGTAAGGAACTGCTCTATAGTGAAAAGGCTCACACTCAAAGAAACCTGTCTTTCCGATCATATGAACTGGCAGGTGAGTATGATGAGGAAAGGGGGCAGGAGAATCCTGGAGAAGAAAAAGAAAGAAAGAGGGATCATTTAATTCTGTGTATGATCCAACTTAAGTCCCAGACACACCCCTGAGCTGTCCATATATGAAGCAGACCCAAGGAAGCACAAAAAAAGCTTAGATAATTGAACTGTGATATTAACTCTGCCCAAATCCCAAATTAATCCCCACGTGGTACGTGTGCCAGGCATACTCAAATAGTATAGTAAAGGCTCTGATGTAACTACCACACACAGAGACAAAACAGAATGTGTAGTCTGAACCTAATCAGGTTGACTGCTTGTCAAAACAAACAAAAATCAACTCTTCAGAGGGTTTTAACAGAACCAAGAATCCAATCATAATATTCAAAATGTCTAGTATGCAATCCAGAATTACTCAATATGTAAAGAACCTCTAACTCATGACCCAATGTTGGAATTACAAGACAGACTTTAAAGCATTGATTTTATCCATTTCCCATGAGATAAAGGGGAACAGTCATCAAATGGATGGAAAGACTAAAGTTCTCTGCAGAGAAATAAACTATAAAAGAGAAACAAATGAAAATTTTAGATTAAAAAATTATAATATCTGAAATTTAAAATTTACCAGATGGACTCACCAACAGAATGGAGATGATGAATGAGCAAGTGAACCTGAAGATACAGCATTAGAAATTACAGTCTGAAGAACTGACAGAAAAAAATTTGAAAAGATATCTGAGAAAATATCACAAGGTTCATGTCAACATCTATGACATGAAGGTACCAGAAGGAGGGCCGGGCACGGTGGCTCACGCCTGTAATCCCAGCACTTTGGGAGGCTGCGGTGGGCAGATCACCTCAGGTCGGGAGTTCAAATCCAGCCTGACAAATATGGAGAAACCCCATCTCTACTAAAAATACAAAATTAGCCAGACGTGCTGGGGCATGCCTGTAATCCCAGCTACTCCGGAGGCTGAGGCAGGAAAATTGCTTGAACCTGGGAGGCAGAGGTTGCAGTGAGCCGAGGTCACACCATTATACTCCAGCCTGGGCAAACAAGAGTGAAACTCTGTCTCAAAGAAAAAAAAAAGTATCAGAAGGAAAGGAAAAAGATTGGCACAGAAAAAAATATCACAAGGTCCATATCAACATCTATGACATTATAGTACCAGAAGGAAAGGAAAAAAGATTGGCACAGGAAAAAATTCAAAAGAACCATGACAGAAAACTTCCTAAATTTAGTGAAAGACATGAATTTACAGATTCAAGAAGCTCAGGAAACCCCAAACAAGAAAAACAAAAAGAAAATCATGCCTAGACACATCATAATCAAACCTCTGAGAACCAAAGATAAGAAAAAAAATTTCAAAGCAGAGAAAAAAGTTACATTACATATGAGATAACAGATGAGGGGAAGGGAAGCTTTGACTACAAAGGGGTAGCACAGGGGAGTTTTCAGGGCTTGATGGAACTGTTCTGGATCTCAATTACATTAGGTATTATAAGACTCCATGCATTTGTCAAGATGCTCCTGGTATACCAAAAAGAGCAAACACTAACATATGCATATATAAAAGAACCAGAATCCTGGATACCATCCATTAGTGCTGTCCTTCCCTCACCCTCCATACCTAATCAACCACCATCTCCTGCCCAATTTACTTCCTAAAGATTTCTCAAATTTGCTCACTTCTACTGTTTCTTCCAAGCTGAGGCCTCATCATAATCTGTTAGTACTTTGATCCCAAATCTAACCTCTACAGCCTTGCTTTGCGAAAGGCCATCCCTCCTCTAGTAGTATCACCTTTAACCTGGAAGTTTGTTAGAAATGCAGAATCTCAGCTCTCACCCCAGAACTCCTGAATTGGCATCCACATTTTTATAAGATTCTGGAGGGATTCATAAGCATATTAGAAATTTGAAAGTCTAGTCTAGGGCATGCCAGAGGAATAAAAATCGAATTATGGTGCTGCTCTTCCACTTGAAAGAAGTACCCTACCAGGACATATGCAGGATGTACAAGATCTTACATGATCTAACCCTATTTTGCTCTGCAGGCTCATCTTTTGCATGCTCAACCTCACATTTTACACTTCAATAAAATTTAACTGTTTGTACATGCCAACACACATAACACAATGTTATGTCCCACTGCTACGCCTTTACCCATGCAGTTCCCTTGGCCTAGAATACCTCCCTCTCCATCTGGCTAATTCCTAACTAACCTACCTTCAAGCCTCTATTCAGGAGTCAACTATAGCAAACTTTGATGACCATTTACTTAGATTGAGGTAAGAGTCCCTTTGGGCTCCTAAACCACCCTGGACATACCTCCAATCCTTGAATTTCCCACATTACATTGAAATTATCTGCTCAAGTGTTTTTGCTGGCCTGAAGGTTTCTCAAGGACAGTAGCCTCATCCCTGCCCTCTTTTCCCTGTGTCTAGCAAAGAAGACGTTAGAGAAAGGCTTTGATAACCTGAAATATCGACTTTTTTTGGATCCATATAAAGCTATTTGTTTCCAGTTTGGTAAGGACCAGTTTCCCCATCACATATTCTTTTCTTGAGAGAAATTGTTACCCAATTCCTAGAGCTGAGCTGCAAGTCACTTGAAGCAAAATGCAGTTAAGTTCAGACCTAAGTAGATCTTTATTGCTTGTGCCAAAAGACTTAAAGCCTCCCGCCCAAAGGAAAGGCTTTTGAAAAATGCTATAAGGCCACCTACTACAAACTTCATATTGTCCCCAGCTGGGTTGGGGGCAGGTGGGGACAAACTGCCGTTGCTTCATTACAAGCTCTCAGCTCAGGCCTGGCTGCCCCACGAGGCTCTGGTCCCGCCCACAAGCACACGTTCTGGTCGAGATCTCTCCTCAAAACTCTGACCCCTCAGAGAGCACCTGGGCCACCCCGGCGCGAGGGTTCAGACACTGTGGCCCTAATGGTGGTCACCTTCTCCAGGGCAGCTCCTCTTCTTCCATGTCGCTCTCCGTCACTGAACCCTCTATCATGGTTTCATCACTGTCCCAGTCTGGGGCCTGGACGCCTTCCTCCATCTTTGCCTCACATTCGAAGTCTTTTTAGCCCTCCTCTAACTCCCTCTTGCCCGCAAAAAAAAAGAATGCTTTGAGGGCCAGGGGAAATTGTGAGTTAAAAAATAAAAATAATAATAATATAATCGCAGCAGGAGTCGGGCCTCGCTGCAGGGCTGCTGAGGAGAGTGTGGCGGGATCGGCGTCTGGGAGGCAGCCCGCGGGTTCCGCCGCACGCCGCAGGCAGGGGGCAGCCGCGCGCCACACGTCGGCGCCCCGAGACGCGCTCGGCCCCGCCCCCAGCTCGCCAAGTGGGCGGCCGCGCAAGCGGGCCTGCTCTGGGCGTGACCCACCGCCTGGTGCCTTTTTCGCGGTTTTCCATCCTGGTTCGCTAGACGTAGAAGTTACTGGGATTGCTGCTGTGCAGCCTGGAAAGGCAGGCGTGCCGCACCCAGAACTCAGGCCGAGCGTGCTCATCGCCCTTGGCCGGGAGGGGGACCTGTCATGCACCTGGTGCGTGTGAGCCCCAGATACGGGAAGAGCTGTCAGCTCCTGCCCGCCCCAGCAGCCCTGGCATTCTGAAGCCAGAATGTAACCTTAGACCTGAGTGTTTTTGCAGCCCACCGAGCGCTTCCTTTCCCTTTAATCCCTTGACAGCCTCTCCTCAAGTGTCCCCTGAGGTAGACAAAACGTATGTTGAAGCTCATCAGCTAATCTCAATGGTGTATTTTGTATTTTTTTTCTCTCAACAACTCTTTGGTCATCTGAAATACAGATTATGCAGGAAAGGCAAGATGAATGCTTAATTTTTCCCCTTTTATCAATGTTAGCATAATAGTAATACCTAGCAACCTCCAAAAGTAGTCAGTTGTGTTTTATGAAGTACTAGAATTTTATGTTTGATGTGTTTCAATCTATTTGAACACTTTTAATTCAAACCAAGTGTTTGAGTTTGAATTAAAAGTGTTAAGTGAGCCTAACCAAGCCAAGTGAGCTTCCACTTGCCAAGTGAGAAAAAGATTCAAGAAAAGATCAAGTTATTTTCCCATAGCAAGTGTTTAGTATTCACCTTGGCATCTCCAGCATCTAGCACATATGAAGTCCAAGTTTTGTCATAAATAGATGGAGGTAGTTTTCTGACTTCCCAATTCATTACCCTTTTTACTATATGGAGTAGCTTTGCCATTATTATTATTATTATTTTGTGTTTTTACTATTTATACCTAAGCCACTGCTGTTTAAAATCATTAGCTGGTGGTTATCTTCTAAACTTAACTTGAGGCTGAGGGTGGTGGCTTATACCTATAACCCCAATGCATTGGAGGCCAAGGCAGGAGGATTGCTTGAGACCAGAAGTTCAAGACCAGCCTGGGCAACATAGTGAGACCCCTATCTCTACAAAAAAAAATTATTTTTAATTAGCAGGGCATGTCAGCATGGACCTGTAGTCTCCTGTACTCAGGAGCTTGAGGTGGGAGGGTCGCTTGAGCCCAGGAGTTTGAGGTTACAATGAGCTATGATTGAGCAAATGCACTCCAGCCTGAGCAGCAGAGTCATATTATGTCTCAAAAAAATAAAATAAAATAAACTTACTTGAATATTCCTCACCTCAGCTATGTAAATTAGGCAGAACAATAATAAATAAGAAATATGCAAAGAACTAGACCTCTTTCTTTTTTATAGTAGTCCATTTATATCATCCATGTCTAAAACAGACCTAAATTTCTATCACCTTTCCTGCTCACCCACTGTTTAAGTAACTCATTAGTTCATTCTTCTATGTTGCCCAAGCTGGTGTCCAACTCCTGGGCTCAAGCTGTCCTCCCACCTCAGCCTTCCAAATATCTAGAACTACAGTCTCATGCCACTATGCCCACTTTACCCACTGTTTTTAATCGTCTGGCTCTGCTTTCACAGAAATTGGGGGATCATACCCAGTAAATGATGGTGAGTGGCTCCATTTGCCCCAGAGCAAAAGATGACTCCACTAATAACCGCACTTGCTCCTAACAGCTAGTAACAAGCTAAGTACAGTAAGTCCTCACTTTATGTCCATCCGTAGGTTCTTGGAAACTGCGACTTTAAGCAAAATGAGTTATAAGAAAGCCAATTTTGCCATAGTCTAATTGATACATTTGGTCACAAAAACATTACCAAACTTTTAAATAACACAAAAACACCTTTAATATTAAACATTGAAATAAATGTGAGCTATACATATATTTAAGAAAGATTAATAAAAACAAGATAATTATTTACCCAGTTATTCCAGTTCAGGGTTGAGGGTGGGTGGAGCCTATCCTGGCAGCTCAGGGCTCTAGGCAGGAGCCAACCCTGCACGGGAGGCCATTCCATTGTAGAACGCACTCACTCACACACACACACACACACACACTCACTTATTCTGAGACCGTTTAGACAGGCCAATGAGCCTAACATACACATCTTTGGGATGCAGGAGGAAACCAGAATACCTGGAGGAAACTCACGCTGACATGGGGAGAACATGCAAATTCCACATACAATGGCCCTGGCTGGGAAGTATAATAATTTTCTTTCCTCATCGGTGTTGAAACACCGTTGAAAGAAATGTTATTCGAGGATCTGCTATGGAAAAACTTCTGAGCCTGAAATTTCACATTCTTTTTAAAAATGCTAAAATCATTCATTGAAATAATGATGGGGAATTTTATAATAAATGGATCAGGTTGGCAACACTTAAACCCACTGATCAATCTTAACATCACTAAAAGTAAGACTCCCAGATATGCCCCTCCTGTCATAACACAATAGGAATACATAGCACTACCTATGAAGTATTCTAGGCCAAAAAAAAAAAAGTTAAAAACCTAAATTTAATCGAGCCTCTAGATCTAACTACTAGTTATTTATAAAAGGCAGGGTAGAGAAATCTGTTAAACAATATAAAAGGATGAAATTAACAGAATTCAGAATGCAGAAAACTCTATAGGACAAATACACTTCCCTACAGAATCATTATCTCAAAGACTTAGACTTTTTTTTAATAAAAATAAGTTAGTCAAGGTATTCTCCTGCTTCAGCCTCCCAAGTAGCTGGGACAAATGTGCACCACTACTTCTGCCTAAAACTGTAAGAGATGAGACTTTCATGGAAGACTTGATTTATTGTTAAGTATAACACAATATGAATCTCTAAGATACTAAATCCAACAGCCACTTTTCACCTTAGTAATATTTCTCCCCAAAATAAAGCTATATGAAGTATTTCACCAAGGATTCAATGATAAGTATTTTAAAATACACTTTCCCAGCAGGGCACAATGGCTGATGTTTGTAATCCCAGTACTTTGGGAGGCAGAGGTGAGAGGATCACTTGAGCCGAGGAGCCTGGGCAACATAGAGAGACCCCCATTACTACAAAAATAAAAATAAATAAGCCAGAAGTGGTGGTGCACATTTGTCCCAGCTATTCGGGAGGCTGAAGCAGGAGGATCCCTTTTGCATTTTTAATAGAGTTAGGGCTTCACCATGTTTGCCAGGCTGGTCTCAAACTCCTGGCCTCAGGTGACCTGCCTGCCTTGACCTCCCAAAATGTTGGGATTACAGGGGCGAGCCACTGCACCAGCCTTAGATTTGTATTTTAGCGGTCATTATAGCTAACTCATATGTGTGGTTATAAGCCAGCCACAACTCCTATAGGCCATCCCTTCTTAGTGCAGAATTTAATAAGTTCAATTTTACCTTAAATGGCATAAAATAGATATAAAACACTTCAGAAAGTTAAAAGAACTGTAACTGCCCAATGGGCTCTCCTTGCCAGCTGCCTAGACAGCGCCACTTTATCAAGGCAGGGGAATTGCAATGGAGAAAGAGTAATTCACGTAGAGCCAGCTGTGCAGGAGACTGGAGATTTATTATTACTCAAATCAGTCTTGCCGAACATTTGGGGATCAGAGTTTTTAAAGATAATTTGGTGGGCAGGAGCTTGGGAAGTGGGGAGTGCTGGTTGGTCAGGTTGGAGATGGAATAATTGTGGGTGGAAGTGAGGTTTTCTTGCTGTCTTCTGCTCCTGGGTGGGATGGCAGAACTGGTTGAGCCAGATTATTGGTCTGGGTGTTGTCAGCTGATCCATCAAGGGCAGGATCTGCAAAATATCTCAAGCACTGATCTTAGGTTTTACAATAGTGATGTTATCTCCAGGCTGCATGATCCCTAAATTGTAATTTCTTATCTCGTAGCTAACTTGTTAGTCCTGAAAAGACAAAGTGGCCCCCAGGCAAGAAGGGGGGTTTTCAGGATAAAGATATTTTCAGTTTTGTTTCAGAGTCAAACCATGAACTGAATTCCTTCCCAAAGTTAGTTTGGCTTACACCCAGGAATGAACAAAGGCAGCTTAACGGTTAGAAGCAAGATGGAGTTGATTAGGTCAGATTTCTTTCACTGTCATAATTTCCTAAGTTACAATTTTGCAAAGGCGGTTTCAGTACTGTGAAATTTCAGCTGATAGCCTATATATAATTAGTATTTCCAAGATGAAAAACCTCTGAAGAATTGCTAATGGCATCTGTTACAGAGGGTGATTGAAAGAGCACTTGGCATTTCACAAATGAGAATCAGAGGACTAAACACACCTAGAGGTAAATTACAACAACCCTCCCAGCCCATTGCCCCAGGATGCTTGCAAGATGTTCCTGCTATTCTACGTGGTCTCTACTATTACAGTTATTTATTGTTCAGTCTTTTAGACTGTATAGTGTTTCTTTAGAAGCAGAAACACAAAGGGTACTTGTACACTGAGCTTCTGTCTCAGAAGAAATAACTTACAACATTTTATAATTTATCATGATGTAAAAAAATAATACTGGAGCACAAACATTAAACTACTATTATATATCATTGGGATTTTGTAAGGATTCTTACATTATTTTCTCCTTATAAACACAATGTAATGTTGGCATCAAAAATTGGCGATCAAAGTAATAAGGCCATGACAGACTGTCAAAAAGAATTACAGACTCAAATGCAACAGCCTAGTGAAGATGACATTGATTTTCTCAACCTGTTTAACAGGTTTGACAGCTTCCTCCTTGTCTGCTTGTCCAGTCAAGTGATACTCATTAATGGCCGGAATTCTAAGAAGTCTGTATTTCTATGTCTTTCCATTTCTGTTCCTCCCCACATCTGGTCTTTTTCTGTGAGAGTAACTGATTAACACGTTGGATTTTAAAACATACTTAACCTAACTCATAATTAAAGAAATATACATTAAA